ATTTATTACTCAATTAATATGACTCTTCTAATATTAACCATCAGAGTTATACTTGGCATGATAGTACCAAGCTCTTCCTTATGATGGTTACACTATCAAGAAAAAAACAAACCTTTAGGATTTTGAGTATTTCATTTATTATTTACCAATTTAGCCCATGAAAATCTAACCAGTAACATATTTAATATGTAATTATATAACAGGTATGTTACCAAACAGATTTTTCAAAAGCTGAATTAAATAATAAATATTATAGACAGACATTCGTATAATTGGCTGTTTAAAACAATTTAATTTTACATTATTTATACAGTCTAAAGTACTTTTTAAAAAAAATAAAACCACTACAAATAAACAAAAAAGAAGTATATAGAAAGTTTTATTAGAGTTGTAGAACTCTACTATTAAAAATAATCAAAATTCTTTTTTGTTTTAGAGAAGTTAGCATAATAACAACCTAATTTTAAGAAGTTGCTATTATGATAACTTCTCTAAAACAAAAAAGAATTTTGATTATTTTTAATAGTAGAGTCCTACAACCTTAATAAAACTTTCTATATACTTCTTTTTTGTTTATTCATAGTAGTTTTATTTTTTTTAAAAAGTACTTTAAATTGTATAAATAATGTAAAATTAAATTGATTTAAATAGCTAATTATACAAATGTCTGCCTATAATAATAAATAATAAACATGAAAACCAAAAAAAAAAATTTAAAAAAGCAATAAAAAAAAAATAAGTAAATATTCTGAGAAGAAGAGGGTCACAAAAAAAATGAGTGATAAAGGGTATGCTGAGAAAGTGGAGATGTTGAAAATGGGAATGAGTCAGGGAAAATAAGATGTCAGAAAAAAGGTAGGTTGGTGAAAAGGATAGGTTATAGAAAAGAGGATGTCAGGAAAAAAATAATGTTGGGGAAAGGGAATGTTAAGGAAAAAGAAATGTCAGAAAAAAGGTAATATTGGGAAAAAAAGATGTCAGGGAAAGGAAATATCAGAGAAAAATAAATATCAGAGAAAAGGGATATTGGGGAAATAGGAATGTCAAAGAAATAGAAATATTAAAGAAATGGGAATGTCAGAAAAAAAAGAATGTTGAGAAAAGAGGAATGTCAGGAAAAGGAAATATTAGGAAAAGGGAATATTGGGAAATAGAAATGTTGAAGAAAAAGGAATGTCAGGAAAATAGGAATGTCAGGAAATAGGAATATTGGGGAAATAGAAATGTTATAGAAATAGAATGTCGGGGAAATGTGAATGTTGGGGAAAAAGAATATGTCAAAAAAAAATATGTTAGAAAAAAATATATTAGAGAAAAGATATATCTAAGAAAGGGATGTCAGAGAAGTAGTTGTCAGTGAAAAAGTTATATTGAGAAAAAGGGTGTGTCAGAGAAGTGGTCATCAAGAAAATGGTTGTCGGAGAAGAGGTATGTTGGGAAAATATTGTTAGGGAAATGGATGTCAGAGAAATTGTTGTTAAGCAAGTGATATAGACCCGTCAATTTTTCTTTATATAAATTACACACTGTAATTGTTTTACCAAAACATACTGTCTAACTATATTAACTATTTAATCTAGCTGTTATTAATATAATTTTTGATTCAAGACTAATAATATAATAGTTTTAATTTTTATTATTACAGTGCAGAGATCCTTAAAAAATACCTTTATAAATAAAAAACTAAAATAGTTAAAACTAAATCTCTTTGTAAAATAATAAAATAAAGCCTAAAAAACAGTTACGAAGTTTATTTTTTTTAGTTAATTAATACTAGGTTTTAAGACCCAGGTGTTCAAAATTTTAATTTTTTTTTTTTTTAGGTTTGGGTTTAAATGAGCCTAATGTGGGTTCAAATAGATCTGATATGGGTTCAAATAGACCTAACATGTGTTCAAATAGACCTGACGTGGGTTTAAATAAACCCGATGTGGGTTTAAATAAACCTAATATGAATTCAAATAAATCTGGCATGGGTTTAAATAAACCTGATATGGGTTCAAATGAACCTGACATGGGTTCAAATGAACCCAGCTTGGGTTCAAATGAACCCAAATTAGTTAATTTATAGTATATATATATAATTTTTATTTTTTTAATTTTTTTAAATTAGGCCATACAAAATTAATAAATTAGTTTTCATAACTTGGCCAGATCAAAATTTGAAAACTCTTAAAAATTTTTTTTATATGTTTTAATAAGACCATACAAATTTAATTACTTGGTTTTCATAACATGCATCTTTTAAATAGACCCGGCCAGCCGGCTTTTTTTTTTAAATTTCATATATAAAATTGTATAAAATTTTATAAAAATTTTTTTTAAATCCCACCCGGTTATTAAAACATATAAAAATTTTTTTTAGAAGTTTCTAAATCTTGACCCGGCCGGGTTATAAAAACCAATTGATTAACTTTGCATGGCCTAATCAGGTAGATTTTCAATTTTTTTTTATATAAATTTTATATATAAAAAAGCTGGCCGGCCAGGTCTATTTAAAAATTTCATGTTATGAAAACCAAGTAATTAAATTTGTATGGCCTTATTTTATGTTTTTTTTATTTTTTTTATATATTTTTATTTTTTGTAATCTTTTATATATTTTTTTAATTTTTTTTTAAAATTTTATATATATATACTTTTTTTAATTTTTTTTAAATTTTTTAAATTTTTTTAATTTTTTAAAATTTTATATATATATGTTTTTTTTATTTTTTTTTTTAAATTTTTTAAATTTTTTTATTTTTTTAATTTTTTTATATAATTTTTTATAATTTTTTAATTTTTTTATATTTTTTTTAATTTTTTTTTAAAAAAAAAAATTTATACATTATTTTTTACATTTTTTTTTTATTTTTTTAATTTTTTTTAATTTATATATATATATTTTACTCTAATCCTTTATACAAATAGCTTATTTATTAAGAAAAAGATAGAAAAAGAAGTTTTGTACAAACAAGATCTAGATTAGATTCAAGTAAATAAGAGTAAATAATATAAGATTTAAGTTAATAGCTTTAGTATACAATATTAGCCTTTATTAATAAAAGTAGAATTACTGTACTAGCAATCTGAGTAATTTTGCTTATAGCTTAATGTTAGAATATATACAGATAGTATAGCAGCAATAGATATAATTAAAAAAATAAAAAACTTAAAACAAACAAAGAGTAGTTAAAACAAAAAAACTTTAATTTATTACTTAAAATTAAAGAAACAAAACAAATTAAAAGTTTAAAATTAGAACTTATCAAAGTTAAAAAAACAAAGTAAAAACAAGTAGAATAATAAACCAAATTATTTAGCAAAATTGAGGCTAAATATATTTAAATTGTATTTGCAAAATATTAATATAAATTCAAGGCTTAGATATAATATTTTTTGAAATAATAGTCTTATCAAGATATTAACAAAAAAGTTTATAAGAATATAAAGTAATTGCAAAGTAGAGAATCTTAAGTATAGCAAGTCAACTTGAAATAAAAAATAATCTGCAAAAATAGAACTAAAAAAGCTTGTAAAAAATAATTAAAAACTAAGTAGAATTAAATATATATCAATCAAAAAAGAGAAAGAAGCTTAATTTTTTAATTAAATATTTATAATAATCTTTAGATATTAAATAATCTCAAAAAGAAAAACTAGATTATATAAAGAAAATAACTACAAAATTTATAAACAAAGTATAAAAGAAATATAAATATATCTGGCAAGTTATAAAGTTTAAAAGATTAGGTTTGTTAATTAGAGATAAAGTAAATGATTATAAAAATAATAAAAGCTTTTATAAATAAAATAAAAAAAAAGAAAGCTATAATTAATGGAGTTTTGAAATTATATATTTAAAGAAAACTAAAAAAAAAAAAAAAAGAAGCTAAAGACTTGCAAGATTTAAGTTTATTAAAAAAAAAACAAACCAAGTTTTTGAAATAGTAGTATATATAGTATAAAATTTTTTTTACAAAATTATTTAAAAATAGAGATATAAAAAGATAATAAAATAAAAGCAAAAAGAAGATATTATAGAAAAACAAAAACTTAAAAAAAAAATAATCAAGTAAAAAAAAAAAAATAACTAAAAAAAAAAGTACAAAAAATAAAAAATTTATATACAACTTTAGCAAAATCTAAAAAAAGTGTTATAAAGATTAAAGAAAAGAGGTTAGAACAAAACAAAAAGATAGACAGTTTAGCAGAAAAAATAGTTATTAATAGGGTATACAAAGATGGAAAACTATTATAATATAGCACTTAGACTAATTTAATACAATCTTTAATTTTTAAAATAGTTTTCAAATTAGTATAGTAGATTATATTTAAATGCCTATAAAGTAGCTAGATAATATTAGGCTTACAAATTAAAAATAATTAAATATATAAACTTATATAATATACTTAGAATCTTAATAAAGTATTAGTTAGCAACTCTTCCTTGCAAATCCTTGTACCAAAATTGAGCTAAAAACAAATAATCAAAAAAACAGTAAAATATACTATCTAACAATATTTCATGAACTAAGAGAAAAGACACATCAAAGAATATTAACTAAAGTTTACTAGTACTTCTAGTTTGTCTATCAATTTGTGAAAGACATATAGCTGGAAAACCACTTTTCAGAGAAATTTCTTTCTACAAAATTGATTTTTGGGGAATCGGCTTTGATTCTGTAACATAGATCACTAAAACAACAAACAATTACATAACATGTCTGTGATTAAAATAAACAAACAAACAGCAACATGACTACAAGTCATGAATGCTGCCACTTATAGAATATAGAAACTTCTTCTTTAAATTAAAAGAAGAAAAACTTATACTCTATAGTAAACAAGAGTTAACAATATTAAAACAAGACAAATTTGTTGCAAAGTACTTTGAAGCAAATAATGTCTGCCTTATTGCAATTATTCGCATAGTTATTGAAAGATATAAATGGGCAGAGAGTAAAGAGTTCAAGCATGAATCTATTACAGATAAGGAGAAAACCTTGCTAGAAAACATGGTTACTGCAAATGATACTCAAAAAGAATCTAACAGAAATAGCTCTATTCTGTTAGACATTATTACTGTTAAGCCAATTACTTTATCAAGCAACTATGGGAAAAATATACCAATTGATACCAAAAATTCTGCTCGTAAAAGATGTCTAACTGAATATGAAAAAACAAATATGTTAACTAACAAGGAGCTTGAGACTAGTCAAAGTATACTAATACAAAATAAAGTTAGCACACTAGATTATTGACTAGTTAAACCTCTCTCAACAAATAATCATAGCAGTTCAAAGAGCGAAACAGCAAAAAAGTTAAAAAACACGAAGATATATTTAACTCAGCATGGGCACCCAAGGGAAATTTTATCTTAAAGAAATACATAAATGAATCTTCTTATTTTTTTATACTCTAGGATCTCTTGAGTGATACAAGCATAGCAGAAATAAAAAAATTTCTTAAGTATTTTGGTACAGCATCTATTCTCGCTTGGCAATATAACTTCACAAGCAAGGTAGCTTTTATTAAAATTACAACATCTACTGAGAAACAAGAAATCTTATTAAGAGAAAATTGGTCAGTACATCTGGACCAAAGCAAGACATATAGAGTTACACCAGGCAAATTTGATATCAGACTTCTAGAAGAGTGAAACAAATACAAAACTATCATATATAACATACCATCAACAGTTTATGATAGCCTTTTACTCCGTCAGCTAAAAAAGTACAAAGTACAAGCAGTACATATACTAAATAACTGAAATAGCAACCAAAGCAGAAGAGTACAATTGTATTTTAAGTTTAAGCAGAATCTGTTACAAGCTTAGAAGTCAATGTTATACTACTTTAATACAAAATTAGAATAGAGATCGCATAGTAGAGAGGCAGAAAACAGTAGCTGCATGAGTATACAACATCCACATAATACTAAAAAAAGACCCTAATAAACTCGTTTGACAGAATAATTCAGAAAGCAAAAAGGTTAAAGAAACCTTTGAGCAGAATATCAACATGCACAGAGATCTGAGGCCAAGATTAACTGAAAAAAATCTAGCTTCAAACAAAGAAAACTTAGATCTTCAATCCAGGAATTTGGTAAAGCCATTTCAAGAGAGCATGAATAACCTGAAACGCAAGTTTACAAAAAAGAATATTCAATCTATTAATAAGCAACAGAAGGGCAAAAGACCAAACATCAACCAAAAACCAAAAAGATTTGTGGAAGAAAGTAGTAAAAAAAAATTAGACCAAGTTGATTTATTGCAGGAAATTCTTAAAAGACTAGAATTGCTCGAAGAATATCAAAATAGTAGCAAGGGCTCCATGTGTATCTGAGAGGTGCTACAGACACCACACCAATTATGGATACCCCAAATAGTAGCCAGGTTCAGACACAGCTAGTACCAACACAAAAATCAGAACTGGTAAAGCAAATCAATATAGCAACACACAACATTAATAGGCTTAAGGTATATATATAATCATAAAATAGAACTGTTGTTAAAATGGGCAAAGAAAAAAGAATACAATTTAATTGGGGTCACAGAGACAAACCTGCAAGAGCATGAAGCAGGGTTTGTGTTAAAGAACAATAGTAATTTCAAAGAAATATGGTTGATTAGCTCAAAATCTAAAAAGAAAGACTTTGGTGTTGGCCTCCTAGTTCAAAAGGATTTAGAAAAACATATTGGTAGAATAGAGAAGCCAAACAAGTATACAATAATAGTACACTTTTATTTTAAGATCTACAAGTTAGTAGTAATTCTGGTTTATATTCCCCTAAATAATATAGAGATGATAAAAAAAATAGATATATTAGTTCGAGACAAAATAGGTAAAATACAAGATAGAGATCTCACAATTGTAATGGAGGACTTTAATCATATAGTAGATCCAGTATTAGACAAGTTATCACAAGTGAAGAGCTATAGAAAACTAGTATTGCATAGATAGCTTAAAGAATATAATTTCATTAATATATACAGATTGCTCAATCTTCATAAAAAAAAGTTTATATGAAGCAATAATACAGTCGCAACAAAAATAGATCAAATATGGATATCCTGAGATATAGTCAAAATAACACAAAAAACTAATATTGAATGTATGTTAGGGATTACAAGGAGTGATCATAACTTAGCATTTACAAAAATCAAATGGTATCTGCCAATCTATTTAAGTAACTACCTAATCAGAAATATTCCAAGCATGAAACAAAAAATGTGGAAGCTAGATTTAGCCACAGAAGAAAATTGGAACAATTACCAAACAAGTCTTTGGGGTAGGCTAAACATTAAACAACTAAAAGTTCTCAAACAAGAAATATTACCTTCAAACCTATCAATACTAGAAAAATTAGAAGCAAATCTTGATAAATTGTGGGAGTCTTTAGAGAGTGCAATTTTACTAGCAGGTCAGCACAATCTACCAAACAAGATAGTAGATTTTAGGAGAAGAGTAAATCACAAAGCCAAAGAAAGCAGATTTATAAAGGCAGCTTACTTGCTAGACAAGTTAATTAAAGAAACTAGAGTAGCAAACAGTATCTATTTACAAGAAAAAACCGCAGAGTAGAATAGAAGAATCAAGCAAATAAACTCATTAGCAGATAGCAACATCAAAGACATCAAAATATTAAAAGATAGCGTATAGCAGGCAGATGCACTTATATAGTGGAAAGCAATTGAAGGCAAGTTAATAGCAAGTAGTGAGTAGGAGAAGAAAAAAAAAATACAAGCATATATTCAAAGAAGAGCAGAACAAATTGTAAATAAACAAAAAAAAATACTAACTAGCCTTCTGGAATGGCTATTTCACAAAGTAGTCCTGAATAGAGTACTAGCACAAAATCAAGATCAAGAAATATTATTAAATGATCCTATAAAAGTTTTGAAAGAAGTGCAAGCCCACTTCCAAAAGCAATTCATAAGCAAAAAAAATAGCTATATGGAGGCTGAGAAACTTTGGTCTGATGAGTACCAACCCAAAAGAAGAATCCAAGAGTCCTGGTTTGATCCGGTAATGCAACTAGTTACACTAGAGGAGTGGCAAGCAATGTTAAGAGAAAGTAAAGCTAACTCAGCCCCAGGAATGTCAACAATCTCATACCCTCTATTGAAGCAAGCAAATACAAGATCTCAACAAGTCTTTAAGAACTTTGCAGAACTATGTTTATGAGTTGGCAATGTTCCAGTTAAATAGAAAACGATACAAATTTACCTTATACCAAAAGAGCAGAATTGGAAATTTAACCTAGATAGAGTTAGACCAATTGCATTAATAGAAGTATTTAGAAAATGTGTGACAAAGATATTAACAAAGAGACTAAGCAAAGTTATTAAAGAAAAAGATATTCTACATAGCCCCAACTTTGCAGAATTACCTAGCAACTCTACCAAAGAGCTAGCACACATATTAAAGATACTTATTGAGGAAGCAAAAGAAAACAAGTAAGAAATCTGGTTACTGTTTCAAGATATAAGAAAGGCATTTGATTTAGTAAACCTAAGCATGTTAGAAAAAGCCTTAAAGAGAATTAAAGTTCCAAACAAATGCTGCAAATTTATTCTAAACCTGTTCACAAACAGGAAACTAAAGATTATAATAGTATTTGGATTAATACAAAAAGTCTTGGTATTGAACAAGAATAGGCTATTTTTCCCCTACTGTGGAGAATCTTCTATAATCCCCTGTTAGATTGAATACAAAAAGACAAAAAGTTTAGATACAAAGTTAAAACTCCAAAGCAATTCGAAGAGCTGCTAGGAACCAGAAAGCAAAAAGGCATAAGACAAGCAGTCCTTGCCTATGCAGATGACACGACATAGATTGCTAGCTCCAAAGAACAACTTAAGCAAATAATCCAAATTGCAGAACAGTTCTTTTAATTAAATAGTATAGAAATCAACAGTAACAAGTTCAAGTTAATTGCACTTAACTCAAAACTCCCAGTAAAAGAAAGACAAATAGAGTATGGTAGAGCCATAGTGGTAGCAGTTAAAAAGCTTAGCGAAATCTGCTTTTTAGGCATATTTTCTCATACTACTAAAGAAATAAGTGAGATAAAAAAAAAAGTAAAGCAGATTGTGGGCTTGTTTGCATATAAATTAGAAAGAAAGAAAACTACAGCAAGTCAACTAGCATATATAAACAATCAAGTGCTAATTCCAAAGTTAGATTATATCCTACAAATAGTGGCTCTATCAGAAAAAGAATTACATTTAATTCACCAACCCTTTCTGTGTTTGATTAAAAGAAAACTAGGTATTGCCCAAATAGCATATTAGTACACAAAGGAATGCTAGATATCAAAATGCTCACAGTGACAGTTCTAGCAAAACAGGCTACATCTCTTTTCAAAAGACTAAATGGCTCTAGTACAATAGAGAGCCTAACCAA